TTAGTAGTTGTTTAGTAGTGATAGTCGAATTCAAATACATTAATTAAGCTTCTTATGAAGTTTGTTTCATTCCTTAAAGTTCTCTTTCTCCTATTTCGTGGACCTTAATCTTTACTATAAGTCGTAGTGATTCATGTAACTATGACAATTTCTTTTTGCTATTTTGGTGGTTTTTTTTTAACTATGTTAAAAAATTTCAAAAATGATGATTGAAAATTGATCTTCTCTTTTGTCCCTTTCTACAGGTTTCTTCATATAAGCAAAGAAAAATGATTTTAATTGAAATGCGACATTACACTCTTGCACCTCTCAGTCCACAGTGGTTAAATTCATTACCTTTGGTTCTTTAGTAAACAAAACTTTTAGTTTGCCACTATTATTTGTATGTTTTTTCTCTATAGGGGAGTCGAATTCAAATACATTAATTATGTTTCTTATGAAGTGTGTTTTGTTCCTCAAAGTATACTTCCTCCTATTTCATGAAACTTAATCTTTTACTATATATTGCAAATTTTTTTTGCTATTTTGGGTTTTTTTTTTTTAGCTCTGTTAAAAATTCTAGTGAGGATGATTGAAATTTTTTCTCTCTTTTGTCCCTTTCTAAAGGTTTCATCATATACTTTTTGAGAAAATTGCTTGTGGGTTGTACTATATTTCACAGCACACAACAACAAATATGTGATAAGTAATACGACACTAATGATGAAGTTTGTTAAAAGAACCAAACAAATTGTTCTCTTACTTGCCACAATTAGTATATTATTTTGATTGTTTTTTCTTAGGTACAAACATTTCGTATGTCATTGTATTCTTCCTAGAATATTAGTAAAGAGACAACTAGTCCACTTCTTTTATCGCAAATTAATTAATTTGTAATATTTCTTCGTCTCTTCTTTTTGGGCATAATAAGATATCAAGTTTTCTTGAAACTAACAAATGTCCAAAATACAATACAACAAAAATATTTTTTAGCGGCAATAAATATGCACATTAACTAAGAGTGCTAGAGCCTTTACCGATATTAATTCATTTTCATTAGATCAATGTTGCTATAGACTTTAGGGACATTTATAGAGAGTACCAATTGCCTCTGCCAATACATATTTACCGACATTTAAGCTATTAATTACCGTTAAAGATCATTTTTGATATAGTGATGACTCTTTCTTTTGATAAAGCTTTTTTGTTTTTTGATAATGAAGTAATAACTCTTTCTTTTGGCTTCTTTCAATTAAATTTGTGAACTGTAAATTTGGATACAGCCCAACATACTATCTTTTTGAAAAATATATTAAGCAACAAACCTTTTTTCTCTTGATTGTTAGGAAAGTAAGGTCGTCTTTATTATTATTTGAGGATATTTTTGAGTTCAAGTGCACACAAATTATGCTGCGAGATTTTAATATTTAATGTGTCAAATTTTTTGTTTAGAATATCCAGTTGTGGACTGTTCCATTCAGATGCCACCTACTGCTTGATTGATAATTGCATTAATTTTTTGTAACTTCATACTATAACCATTACAATAACTATGGTTCGATTCCAACTAAGTTGGGCCGGTGATATGAAACCTAAGCAATAGTACTGACTATTCTGAGACAATGAGGAAAACTATTTATGATACTAACAATGTTTGGGTCATTTTTAACATATACATGATACGACATACCATAATAAAAAAGAGTTTGGTGGAGGTTCATAATAAAGTAGCCGAAGGTCCTCAATTTGAATTTAAAAAATTATGTTCATGTATGATGTTCCACTTTACTTGAGGGTGTTGTTGTTCGAAGCTTTATGGTCCCTTCTTTAACGTCTAATGTTGATCTTTATAACTTCTTGGAATTTAGAAAATTTCATTACTTCTGACCAGCTATTTCCATAGAGATTTTCTCACACTTCTTTCTTATACTTAAAATCTCTATATGACTCACAATTTTTGTATTAAAAAAAGGACAATTGAAAAAATATAGCACTTTTAGATTTTGGAGGAACGCGTTGCCTTAAAATAAAATGTTCTTGACAATGTAGTGTATGTATCAAAAATACGAATATTACCGAAGGATCATATGTAAGCTTAATAAAATAGTTCAATCCCATGCGAAGCACGGATAATTTACCTTGTAATTAGTAATTGAAAATATTTTTTAAATCATTTAACAAATTTGGTTGACTAATTGGAATAGAAGAAGTAACATATATTATTTGAAAATAACGTCAAAATTTTCAAAAAATTCACAATAAATTAGCAACGGAATATATTTATGATTATTCACGTGAATGGAATAGGAGTAACATATACTATTCAAAAATGACGTAAAAAATACTATAAATCACAACAGATTAATAACTTCAAACATATATTTTTTAAAACATATAAAAATTGATTCATTCTTGAAATTTTATTTATATCACATAAATTGATTCAAAAAATTAACATATATTGAGCTTATGCCAACACAAACACCATATATATATATATATATATATATATATATATATATATATATATATATATCTAGTTTGGAAATATTTGTGGACAAAAGCAAGTTTAAATAAAAAACGTGTAACAACCAATAAGTTCCAACTTGGTCGTCAGCTTTTGAAACCAGCAGTGATTTACATTTAACAACCAACACTATTCATTTGTAGTCTATTTGCCAGCCTACAATTTGTCTGCAATTTCCTGCATAAACTTATATGCTTTCTTTATTTGTTTTTCCTGGTCCATGATGTTTTATTTGTTTTACTTTATTTATGACTGCAGAGGCACGCACATCCAAGATTAAGAATTTGAGGATTCTAAATTTTCTCTTTAAAAAAAGTGTAAAATATTTTCATTTTGTCAATTATTTTATTAGGGATTCATAAGCTAATATACATATTACTTATTTAATTTTTTTTAGTATAAATCTAAAATCTATAGAAAAAATATTGAATTCGTCTAAACCACAAACCCCTACCTAGCTTTACCTTTATTTCTGTCTTTGAGGTACTTTGATTCAAGTCAAATTCAACTCAGCCGATGTGGAAAGTGCAAAGAAACTAGTGGTCAACTATATTTGTTTTTTTCTTTAGAAAGTCAAGTCTCTTCTCTTTTAAAAAAAATAAAATATTAGCCAAAGTTTTAACAACCAACACTATGTTGTTATGTTGCTTATCTACTTCTTTTCTATTTATTGAGAGTATTGTTCAATATTCAATTACTCATACCTAGTATGTTATTGAGATATATGATGAGATAGATATGATTCCTTAGCTTTTAATTAAAAGTGTTGATTTTTTAAATTTTGACTACGGAAAAAAAAATCTTTATAGAGAAAAACTACATAAATAAGCCATAAAATACAAGATAATTACATGTTCATACCCCAATCTAAAGTAATTTAAGAAATATTTATTCTCTCAATTTTTTTTTATAGCCCATATTCCCATTTATTAAGGTTGCTAATTTTTGCTTAACTAATACTAAATCAATGCCATATACTGTATTGATACCATTAAGGCTGATAATTTTGCTTAATTGATACTAAATCAGTATATATATACTGTATTGTTATCACAAAGGTTTCTTATTCATATATTACTCATTAGTCAATGCTACTATAAGAGTATATATATATTTTTATGGTATCATTAAGGTTTCTTGTTTACGCCCCACTCAATATATTCTTATAGTATAATTGACTAATGAGTAATTTCTGAACAAGAAACCTCAATATATATATATATATATAATTTAATATCAGTTAAACGAAATTAGTTGGGAGTGTATACTGTAATTATTTAGTGGAATATGAATATAAAAGGGTATATGTTAGTAATTATTTTGCTTTTACGAGGTATTTGCTTAGTTTCCCCTTTATATGTGTGACTTCTCTTTTAATGGTCTAATGTTGTATGAATTTTCTTAGAAACTTTCCCCTAAAGACGCAAAAATAGAGGCCTAATTACTTGGTTTAGCGGGAAAATATGTTTTTCAAAAAGTAACACAAAATGCATACAATTTTTATTTTAAAAATACAATATGGTAAACATATAATTGTCATACAAAAAATATACAATTATGTTGTTGTATGCATTTGTGTGTCGTGTATATGTCAACTGATACATTGGACATACAAAATAACAAGCAATTTATTGGTCTTCTTCCTGTTTGAGTTTTAATATGAAATTCCAGCCAAACTCAATTTTAATCTTCGTCAAATTACCTCAAAATTGACATAAACACTTCAATATTTTATTTTAAATAGTTGCAATAACACCAATTTTTAACAAATAACAATTTCACAAAATTCTATTTTTTGAAATTCACGCTTTGAAACTTTTTAATGGTGGTCAATAGAGCTTTAAATGAAGTTTACACTACTAATAAAAGACAAAACAAACCTCCAAAGTCAGTTATCACAAAAACTTGACCTCAAATCGTAAATCAAAATGAATCTTAATCAAAATATCAAACCGATCTCAAGAGGTCGGTAGAAGAAGGTTCATATACATTTTTTTTTTATATTAATTATATATAGAATCGATCTCAGCAAATCGATTCTCAATTTTTTAAAAATGCTGATCTTTTGGAAAAAAAAAGGATGCAAAATTAAAATTCTGAACAATAGTTGTCCACTATACACTTAACACACCCCTTAAGAAACAATAAATAATAGGGGTAATATTACTGTTTTATCCTTTGACTTTATTAAATTTAATACTTTGAGAAATATGTTAGCTAATAAATAATATTTAATAACAACGATAAAGTCGACACAAAAAGTAAATTATCTCTGAATTTTCTAAAAATAACAAATATTGTTAGACAACTATTTTAATATAGGGAATATTTATTATTGGACGGAGGAATAAAAAATAGGTGGAAAATGAATTCACAGCGACCACTCATGAAAAATATAGTCTTGTAAAGTTGGCCATTGCGAAATTGCTCTCTAATTACTTTCCAACACATGCAGCTTTTCCTTCCTCGCGGCCCACGAAAAACACCCACTCACCTCACTATTAAATACTCCGTATAATTCACCACTACCAAATTACTTCCTTATTTAAGCCCTTTTTCGTTTTCTCTTTCTCCTCGATCGCCAAAATACTCCATTTTTTCGAATCAAGGAAGTAGAAAATGGCTCCTGTTAAGGTGACGATGGAGGTGGGAACCGACGGCGTCGCCGTTATCACCATTTTTAATCCTCCGGTCAATGCTTTAGCTATTCCAAGTAAGCTTATTCGTTTCTCTCCCAATTTCAATTCATGTGTTTGGATTGGATTTTGATTGTGGTGGTTTCAGTTATCGCTGGATTGAAGGAGAAGTGGACTGAAGCGACTATGAGGAACGATGTTAAAGCTATTGTTTTGACTGGTCAGTTCTCTCAATTCTGCTCACTACTTAGTTCTTCGTAATTTAGTGAGTTTTATGACAAACCTGTATCCATTTTATTCTAATTTAAGCATGTCTAAAGCATATACATACCTCCGGCAATTGTTTTCAACTATAAAATAAATTTAACTTTCTACGGGACTTGTTCATGAACTGTTCGTGATATGTTGCTTTATGGATTTTTTTAAGTTCAATTATTTGGTACTTTCGGTGTTTTCCTTAACTACGCATGTGGTGATTTTTGCATAGCTGGTTCAAGGCCAGCCTAAATAAAGGAGGTTGGTAATTAGTTAAAAATATAGTTATAATTTGATGAATCATATTGGAGTTCTAGTATTCATTGAGGCGTATATGTGTTTTTGCGTAATTATCATTTGAGATTTCCCTTGCATCTTATGTTTATGTTCTTTGTATTTTTATGCAGGAAATGGGGGGAGATTTTCTGGTGGTTTTGATATCAATGTTTTTCAGAAGGTTCATGCGAATGGTAGGATTACTTTGGTTTCATCTTTGTACATTTCAACTTGTGTCTCAGTGTATACATCCTTGTTGAAAAATGGAATTGGATTGTTGCAGGGGATACATCTCAGATGCCTGATGTTTCTGTTGATCTTGTGGTTAACACGATGGAAGGTAGTTGACACTGTTTAAATCACAATTTCAGATCCATTATACAGCTCTTTTTTCTCCTGGTGCTTCTCTGTATCATTCTATAGTCCATTGTCATTTACAAATCTCTCAATCCTGTTATTTTTGTAAGTTTAGATGGTAAAAAGCCTGCAGTTGCTGCCATAGAAGGACTTGCACTGGGAGGTGGCTTAGAATTGGCATTGGTTTGTGATCTCTATAAACTTGTCCCATCTTTGTATCTATTTCTTGGCGAGCCAATTAAGTAGTGTATGCTTTTTGCAGGGATGCCATGCACGAATTGCTGCACCACGAGCACAACTGGGGTTGCCAGAGCTCAGTCTTGGAGTCATGCCTGGATTTGGAGGTAACTCTGCCACATAATGCTTGTCGCACTTGAGTGTAGGTTTAGAATTCTCTTCCTTTACCTACTAACTAAATATAGAGAAAATATTTCTTCTTAAGGTACACAGCGTCTTCCGAGGCTTATAGGGTTGTCTAAAGCTGTTGAACTTATGATGGTAAGTCATTTATCTTCTTTTCAGTAAAACAAACTGGAACTTGTGACTTTCTTTCCCCTGATTTTAAACTCTGTTAGATTCCCAGACTAGTTTATTTGATCTATCAATTCATTTCCAAATTAACTGTTGGGGATCAATGCATGTCCTGGTTGGACCATGTTAATAGAACTGTTTACAGTTATTCTTTTCACTATATTGTGATTGGAGATCTCTTTGTTATGACAACTCCTAAATAAAATGGAGCAAAATTATGATGTAATGTCCTTCTTAGATGTAAGCATGGTTCAACTTCTGATCGTTTGCCGATCTCTGTGTTCTAAAGTTTATATGCTCATCCTGACAATGACCTCTATTTAGTTTCCAATATGTGCTCAATGTATCAGATTGTTTCTGTTCTTACTTAAATTTTGTAAATCAATCAAGTGAATCATCAAAATGGCCTTATATATTGCAAACAATTTTCGCAGACATCTGAACCAATAATGTCTGAGGAAGGGAAGAAGCTTGGTCTCATTGATGCCGTTGTCCCTTCATCAGAGTTGTTAAAAGTATCTAGACAGTGGGCACTTGATATTGCAGAAAGGCACAAGCCTTGGATGCGTTCCCTTCACAAGACAGACAAAATTGGTTCCCTTTCAGAAGCGCATGAAATACTGAAGGTGGCTAGGGAACAAGTGAAACAGACAGCTAAGAATATGCCTCAGCACTTGGCGTGCATTGAGGTAATTGAAGAAGGCATCATCCATGGAGGATATAATGGGGTTCTCAAGGTATTTTTTCCCAGTCAACAATATCTTTGTGTCGTAAACACCTTCTCTCAAGATGGCATAACAACTCTTTTTGAATGTTTTGCAGGAAGCTAAAGTATTCAAGGACCTTGTATTGTCAGATACATCAAAGGGTCTTGTTCATATATTTTTTTCTCAACGGGCAACATCGAAGGTATGGTACAGTAAATCCTGAACCGTGAAGGGTATGAATCTACACTATGTGATTTGTGATGCTTGCATGAAGCTTGGAGTTCCTTGTAGGCATCTTTATTTGAGCAGGCAAGAATGAATAGGAAATTACTGGGATGACTACAACTTATGCACCCTCTAAGTCTTACCAATCCTCTAGTTAGCTGCTTTAGCTTTGACTCATTTTCTTGAAACTACTGTTTATTATTAAACTGGATTCTTGATTGCAGATTATCAATTTAAAAAAAAATTATGTATCAGTAATTCCATATTCAAGAGATTAATGCATTAGCCGTACAAAACTATCTGCTTACATAAAAAGTCTCTATAAAGAATGATTACACATGTGATTAAGCTATAGCTCGTTGATCCTTTTCTTTTGCTGATTTAGTTTGGTTTATTCTTCTTGAGATTTGATGTTGGAATGGGTTTTCTTGATGTGTGTAAAGTTTGTTATCAGTAAAATTTCCTATGGTTACATAGATTCTGTGGATCTGTTTCATGTAATGAACTTGTACAGTTACTAGTTTATATTTTATACCATTTTCATTAAGTTTGTATTCTTATAGCTTTTGATCCCCTCCCAACTTTTGACTTTTTGAAATATGTACTTAGATGTCTGCATTCCCTCTGAGTCATTCTATTCTTCTTGTGTGATGACCTTTGGTTTCATAACTGACCAGGTGCCTAATGTCACTGGTATTGGCCTCAAACCTAGGACAGTCAAGAAAGTTGCTGTAATAGGTGGAGGTTTAATGGGTTCAGGCATAGCTACAGCCCTTGCCCTTAGCAACACAATTGTTATACTTAAGGAAATTAATTCTGAGTTTCTTCAGAAGGGGATGAAAGCTATTGAAGGTTGTCGTTACACTTTTTTATGACAGTTAAATTACATACCTCTAGTCATTTAGTCGATGATGCCTGTTATTCTTGACAGTCCCTTAGTGGTCTTTATGTGTAGAAACTTATGAGGATGTATCTTATATTACAGCAAATGTCAGCGGACTGGTAGCTAGAAAGAAATTGCCACAGGATAAAGCAGATAAAGCCCTTTCAATGGTTAAAGGTGCACTAGATTATTCAGATTTTAAGGATGTGGATATGGTCATAGAGGTGAGCTGCTGAACTTATGTTTTGCTGTTAAATGTTCATAATCTTTTCCTCTTTTTCTCATTTCTCTCACGCGGCTTCTTGAACACCCTAGTATGAGAAATAAAGACTCAGGAAAAATATTAGTATTCAAATACATAAAAGTATTGAGCCCTATTTATATACAGACTTTACAGAATACATAATACCTATCTACCAAAGTGGGACACTCAGTATAACTATCTAATGCAGAGCTTTCAAGGGTGCACATAAGCCTTGAAGCAAAGCTCAAAACATGTCGCCTCACTTAATGTGTGCTTCAGTGTTGTCATCAAGGTTCTAATACATACTTTTCCTTGCCACTGAGCCTCTTTTGAAGAGGCAACACAAACAATTGATATTTCACTTTATCTAATTTTTCATTCATGCTTATAATTATTAGTCTCTATACATACACACACATGTACACAATAAAAGGTCATTAAAAAGAGGGTAGAATCAAATGGCTAACAAATGCAAGTCTTAAAGGACATCCAAAAATGTAAAAAAAATATAATTTAGAATGACCGAGGATATGGGATTGGCTTGTCCATTTTCTTTTGTTTTTGCTTAGAACCCATTGACTAAATTAACAACGGGATGAGTTTGAATAGCTGATATTTGAAAAAAGTGATTTATCATCAGAAAAGGGATGAGTTCATGACCTCAAGAGTATTGGAGTGTGAAATACAAGCAACAAAATTATCAGCAAAAAAGGTATTAGTCTGAACAATAGAGGCTACTTGTGGAGATGTCTGCATACTAGCTCAATACTTAAAAGAATTCATTATATCTTTCTTCAGATAAATAAAACATAAGTATTTTTGGGTGGTCAACCGTGCAAAGAATAGCATACTTCAGGAGTGTGCCCATGCTTATTACACTAACTGAACTTGAGTTGAGATCTTGCAAATCGACCTCCTCCCCGTTGATTCTCCATAATCTGAGATGTTCAATTTTTCATTGTTTGAGATGCGAGAATAGAGAGGAGGCAATGGTTGGTGATGAGATCATTGTGATCGGGTGATGGAGAAAGGAGAAATGAAAAATAGTTCACGTAGAAACAGTAGGACTAGCCAAAATCTAGTTGCGCAAGGAATCAAGGTCATTAGGAAGTCCAACAAGTGTAAGAACTAGAAACATCTTTTGTCGTTGCTCCTGTTTTTGTCAACACTAGCAATATGTCAGTAACTGGCATTAACTTCTCAAATAAGGTCGTTACTGTCTATACCTGTCCCAATTAAGTAGATGTATCTGATTCCCGTTTCTTTAAGTGCATCCAAGATATCACATCATAAAAATGAGACATGTCATTAGTATATAAAGTGCAAGCCTTTTCTCAAATCGAACAACATGTTTGGAATGGACGAAACAAGGCCATCAATAGATTGCCACAAGAGACTACATAGTAGAGCGTCAATTTTCTCCCACCGTGCTCGAGCCTTTGTTTTTCTCTCACTAGCCTTTTTTATTAAGTAATCTTGAACACCTTGACCCGTGACCACAATTCAATTGAGAAAGCTCAAGCTGAATAGTTTGAACTTCCCATTAAGGGTTTTGAAGTAATCATTGGACTTACTTTCCAACTTTCATATATCTTGAACTAAACACATCAATCCCAAAAGGCATGGTTGAATTGATGAGAGTTCTAAGCAAATAATCACAAAATATAAACGAGAAGAAAGTGACAGAAAAGTTGATGGCTGACAGAGGTTGTCCAGAAAGTCACCCGAAGATAATCTGAAATTAAGTAAGAGAGCTCCAAAAGTTCAGCCGAGCTCCAATGAGCAATAGCTTTTCTGGAAGACTGCTGGAAAACACGACTGTGGCTGGGAAAATCTGAAAACTCGCTGGAAAAGCTGACTGGAGTTGACAGATTAGGGTTTGGGTGATCAGAAATCAGCCAAAAAGGGATATTTTGGTCCTGACAGCTAGGAGATCTCCAAGTTACCAATCTGCTTAGGTCAAAGAGGATTTCACACACCAATGCATGGTCTGACATGTCGCCGACACCGTAGCTTCAGGTGGCTCGTGAGAATGCGTGACGGTGGATCTGTCAGAGCAGTTTTCTGGGGTTTGTTCTGAGGAATCTTGTGTTGTTGTTTTTGCACAATACTGATAGAAAATTCACTTTGAGCAAACACATACTTATTCCACCGGAAAATTGCTTGCATGTACATTGCACCATGGTATTTCTCACCAACGCTCTAATGCCATGTAAGAAATGAAGACTCATGCAAAATATCATTCAGATGCGTAAAATAATTGTCTTATACTGAGTCCGATTTATATACAAACTTTACACGATACATAATACATATTTACCAATGTGGAGAATACAGTACAACTATTTAACACCTACTATTGCAACAATGGGGATGATCAGAATTTTGATTCTTGATTTGTTGTAATTCTGGCGGTCTCACTCTCATCTTGTTTGCAGGCTGTTATTGAAAATGTTCCACTAAAACAGAAAATATTTAGCGAGATTGAGAAGGTATGCCCTCCACATTGTATTTTGGCAACTAACACATCTACTATTGACCTCAACATTATTGGCGAAAATACCACATCCAAGGATCGGATTATCGGGGCCCACTTTTTCAGGTATGAAGTCATGCATGGCAAAGTTTTGTATAGTTGTGACTAATATGGGAAATATGACCACTAAAAGAGAAGGGTAAACGTGCAATTTCAAAAATAGAAATACAACAATGTGAAACAAAAATTTGATATTGAATACTTGCTCGTGAGACTAGCTTCGAGGGACAAGATTTTTTTCATGTATCTTGTACTTCAATTCCTCTTTATCTTTTGCGCTTAGTGGATGTGGAAGATGGGATTTTTAGAAGTAAAAGCTAAATTACACTGACATCTAGGAAGCATATTATTGGATCTGAATACAGATAAATGAATAGCAACGTAATGATTCTGCTAGAAGAGGGTAATCTTCAAGTTATGTAACAATTCTTTGAATATAAATGCAGGCAGTTACCAATTTACTACAACAGCATCTTTTCCTGTTCCAACTGCTAACTTGGTTTTTGTTGTGGTCAGTCCTGCTCACATTATGCCTTTGCTGGAGATAGTACGAACTGAGAAGACATCTGCCCAAGCAATTCTTGACCTTATGGCTGTTGGAAAGGCAATTAAAAAAGTACCTGTTGTGGTGGGAAATTGTACTGGTTTTGCTGTCAATAGAACCTTCTTTCCCTACTCCCAGGGTGCACATATTCTGGTTAATCTAGGAGTGGATGTCTTCAGGATTGACACGCAAATTGCCAGCTTTGGTCTCCCTATGGGTCCCTTCCAGTAATTCTCTTCCTTACTAAATTATCATATGTAGCTGCATTTTCATTTCATACAAGATAAAACATATCAAAACGAAACCGGGTAGCTGATCTCTGCTGATGCAATTCTTTTTCATTTCTTTAGCTTATAACAGCTTTAAGATGACTAGTCCTTGTGTTCCATTCTATGTAACACTCCATCCTTTTGGTTTGTTTAATTCATTGACATCTTTCTATATTTGGAAACGCTTTAATATGCATATTCCCATCTTACCTTTAATGTCATGCTCTGATAAGAATGATGTGGCATGACGGATATCACAAGATTTTAACATATTTTTGGTAGGTAATATTCATATAGCTTATGTGTCAGAAGGCTTCTTTCTTTCTTAAACTCTGTACTTAGTCAAACACCAACATACAACATGGAATGAAGGGAATATTATATTTCAATGATACAAATTTCTAAATGCATCCACAGACAGAAATATCAGTGAAAGTATTGTTCAGATTCAGTTTTCTATACATCAAAAGGGAGTGCCATGTTTCTTGACTTGTTAAGAGGCTTTTACTGATTGATTTAAAAGCACCCAAGAGTGTGGCCTGGTGGTCATAGAAGTGGGTTGAGAATCATGGCTCTCAAGTTCAAATCCCAGCGGAGAAAAAAAACACTAGGTGATTTCTTTCCATCTGTTCAAGCATCTATGCTGGTGAGGTAGCGGTTACCTAGTGGAATTAGTTTAGGTAAACACAAGCTGGTCCTGGCGGCACAGTTTTTTGAAAAAAGCTGGGCATGTCAACAAGTGGTTCTTCCCATACTATCACAGTCTATGTTGCTCGGACTCTTAAAAATGTCAACGGGTGCGTGTTGGATTCGCCAAAAGTAGTGTATTTTTGACGAATCCGACATGGGTGTGGCATCAAAAGTGAAGAGTCCACGCAACTAAGATCACAGTACACAAGAAAAAGTAGAGAGCGCAGCAGTTGTCTTCTGTTATATATTATAGGTTGAGAAATTGAATAGGTGCACGCCTCCTGTCCCTTTATTTTAGTTGGACTTTGATGATTGTTATAATATACTGCATTTGTTTGCTTAGAAATTTGTAAGGAACGCAGAGGGAAACAGTCATCTTCTTTGTTAGTTGCTATATTAAGGTGTTTGTTGGCTCAAATGGCATGCTTTGTACTCCTATCCATAGCTATTTGTAAGGAACGCAGAGGGAAACTCATCTTCTTTGTTAGTTGCTATATTAAGGTGTTTGTTGGCTCAAATGGCATGCTTTGTACTCCTATCCATAGCTATGTTAGTTTGGTATGAAAATAATTGCTTAAGCATCTTGCAGGCTTCAGGATTTAACAGGATATGGAGTGGCTGTTGCTGTAGGGAAAGAATTTCGTTCAGCTTTTTCTGATCGCACTTTTAAGTCTCCGTTGATCGACCTTCTTATAAAAAGTGGTAGAAATGGTAATGTTGCAAGTCTGTATCCTTTGTGTTGTTGCTTCACTGTCTTGCTTTTCACCATTGATACTGGTTTTGCAGGTAAAAACAACGGAAAAGGCTACTATATTTATGAGAAGGGAAGTAAGCCAAGACCCGATTTTACTGTGCTTCCAATTATTGAGGAATCAAGAAGGCTCGCCAACATAATGCCTGGAGGAAAGGTATCTCTATCTAAGAAAAACACTTGCAAAGGAAAAATCTCTATCTAAGTAAAATGGGTTTAAAGATGCAGGAATGGACTATATGTTCAAAGGGGCCTGTTGAGTTCTAACTTAATGAGAATAACAGTGTTTGTCTTTTTTGTGAATTTTCTCGCAGCCAATATCTGTCACTGACCAAGAAATTGTTGAGATGATACTCTTTCCAGTTGTGAATGAGGCATGTCGTGTTTTGGATGAAGGGATAGTAGTCCGAGCCTCTGACCTTGATGTCACATCTGTCCTTGGAATGAGTTTTCCATCTTACCGGTTAGTTTGTCTAAGCTATTCTGGAAATCAACACTAATTTGTTACCCTCCATATTAGAGTCACCCTCCATATTAAAGTCAAATTATGTCTTGAAACTTGTTCCAAGTGATTACTAGTTACTACTAGGGATGTCAAATGGGCGAGTTGGGCAAAATTTGGGGGGTCAAAATGAGCTGAGATAACAAGTGGGTTGGTCAATGATCCTTCCAAAAGTTCCTTGGGCTGAAATGGTTAAGAAACGTGTCATAACCAGCTCGACAATACTTACTATATTTTTAGTTTCTTTGTTTATTTTTTTGTACTTTGTTTAAGTGCCTAATAAATATTTTTGTTATTATGTATATATACAACATATCAACAAAAAAAAAATGTCGTCTTACAAATATTTTGATTAGATTTCTCATGAGTCAGTTTTAGCTATATTAGCACAACTTTTAGATTGCTGAATTGAGCAAGTCAAAATGGAATGAATTAATAAATGGGCGGGCCAGAATGGGTTAGGTGGGATGGGTCATGCTTTCATGGGCAAATTACTACTGATTCAGATGTGTGGACAATGGGAGCTAAACATGAAATCTTTAGAAAGCTTTCAATAGGATGCGAGGGCTTGTGCATCCTTAAGATAGAACTATTAACCAAAAGACATGAAGATAATTACTCAGAAAGAAAAGGAAAAGGAAAAGGACGTAGAGTGGAAAGAACGGAAGGATTGGGAAGAGTCTTAAACTAAAACAGCTACCACTATATTTCCTTAACTCCCGAAACCTAAGGATGAGAAATCATGACCTTGTATTTTAAACCCCTGTCCTAACATTTCGAATCTGGTAATATTATCTCTATTAAAATTTTAAACATCTACAAAATGATTTTGACAATGATGCTGTTTTTGGCAGAGGTGGTATTGTTTTCTGGGCTGACACTGTTGGTGCTGGACATATCTATAGAAGTCTTAAGAAGTGGTCAGAACTATATGGTAATTTCTTCAAGCCCTCAAGCTTCTTGGAAGAGAGAGCAACAAAGGGCATCCCCTTGGTAAGAACTTGACTCATTACCATTATGCATTTTAAGATCTTTCAAGCTGTTCACTGTATCTTTGCTTCAAATTTGTTCATTCTGTCTATTAATTTTGATAATCAATATGCATATACAGTTGAAATTTCAATAATTGATTACCGTAAGTGTCAATAGCTAGTTAGTAGTCACCAGTTTTGAGCTTCCACTGTTGCCAAACCAAACAAAAAAAGGGGCTGTTAAGTCATGTTTTGAAGGGATAATGAACTAGGGAAAGGACATAATGATGTAATTGTTGCACTGTCCCTATCTGTCAACATCATCGATTTGTGGTCAATCTGGGACAAAACATTGCCGCTGACTGCTGTTAGTTGCATTCATTTTAACTCAGATTGCTTGTCATATTGTTCTGTGCATATGTTAAAATCATTACTGATTGGTATATCATTCCTTGTGCTGCAGAGTGCACCTTCTTCTACATCTTCAGTTTCAAGGTCACGCATGTAAGCAGTGTGTACTCAATGTTCCTACAACTGGGAAACAAGATGAATTTGAAATATAGACCTGTAGAGGGGCACGTAGGTCATGCCTATAAGCAGTGCATGTATAGTGTATTGCAACATTTCCGTGGCTCCTAGTAGAGTTCATTTTCAAGTTAGTTGAGTGAATGCACCAACTTTATATATTCCACCCCCACCCCCTCCCCCACCCGAAGGGTATGTTTATTGGATAAACTGAACCTTTTTTCAAGTATGGCTGTTCATTTATCCAGCAATGTTAAACTTCTTTTCATTCGTATTATGCGTCCACCCCTTTGTTAATTGTTATGCGTAAGGTGTGTTAAATTGCCAAGAAATGAAGCAACAATGAAGGACTATTGAATTCAGTAAATGGCGATAACTACAAATGTGTTATGAAAAGTAACTAACTAAGCTTTATAATAAGAAAGAGAGCAGAGAAACTGTATATGCCATATGGATGTGGCAAACAATGGCATACACAAGCTATCCATTTGCCTTGAACAAGTTCGTGCACTAATACCACATACTTAATTGGCAACTCCATACACTATCCACAATTTCCACAACACCCCTCCTTGGATGTCCAAATAAGATCTAACTAAAGAAACCTTAGTGAAGGAAAAGGAGTACATATATCTTTAAATACGCATTTGAGTGCTGCTTCATTAAAAATCTTGCTAGGAAAATCCAATGGGACAAAACCTATACTAAGGAAAAAAGAGTACTACGCTTATCCTACTCCCCCTGATGAAGACCACAATTTATATTGTTAAGTCTTCGCATTCCAATTTTGTGTACCATCTTCTCAAGAATTGAGGCGGGTAAGGATTCGGTGAATAATCCTGCTGGATTATCACTTGAACGAATTTATTGTACATCAATATCACCATTCTTCTGGAGATCATCTGTGAAGAATAATTTTGGTGAAATGTGCTTAGTTCTATCTCCTTTTATGAAGCCTCCTCTTAATTGAGCTATGCATGTAGCATTGTCTTCAAAGAGCACTGTGGGTACCTTGACATCACACTTCAAATCATATCTTTCTTTGATGAAATGTGTTACTGATCTCAACCATACACATTCTCTACTTGCTTCATGAATAGCTATTATCTCAACATGATTTGAAGAAATAGCGACAATGGATTGCTTCGTAGATCGCCATGATATAGTAGTACCTCCATATGTGAACAAATAGCCTGTTTGATATCAAGCTTTATGTGAGTCAGATAAAGCTTTGATATCAAGTTTTATCCTATCTTTGTTAGGATAAAACAGACACATATCACTAGTCCCCTTTAGATATTGCAATATATCTTTAACTCCATTCCAATGTCTTCGTGTAGGGGAAGAACTATATCTTTCTAATAAATTAACAGAAAATGCTATGCCAGGTCTCGTAGCATTAGCAAGATACATAAGTGCACCAATTGCACTAAGATAAGGTATCTCAGGACCAAGACGTTCCTCATTCTCTTCTTGAGGTTGAAACAAAACTTTACTCACTTCAAGTGATCGAACAACCATCGAAGTACTTAATGGATGTTCTTTGTGTAAAATCGTTTTAAATTTTTCTTAGTATAGGCAGATTGATGGATGAAGACTCTGTTTGCTAAATGTTCAATTGGTAGATCAGGACAAAATTTTGTCTTTCCAAGATCTTTCATCTCAAATTCTTTCTTTAGCTATTCAATTGCCTTTTGAACTTCTTTAGGGTTCCAATGAGATTTGTCATCAACATAAATGGCAAGTATAACGAATTCTGATCCCGTTTTCTTAATAAAAATGCATGGACAATTGACATCATTTATATAACCTTTATTTATCAAGTACTAACTAAAGAGATTATACTATACACCCTGGTTGCTTCAAATCATACAATGACCTTTTTAATCTGATTGAGAACATTTCTCGAGATTTTGAACTATATGCTTCATGCATTTTAAGTCCTTTTGGAATTTTCATATAAATTTCATCATCAAGTGAACCATAAAGATAAGCTGTAACCACATCCATTAGATGTATATTAAGATTTTCATATACAACTAAACCGATGAGGTATCGAAAAGTTATTGCATCCATAATGGGTGAATATGTTTTTTCATAGTCGATGCCGGGTCTTTGAGAGAATCCTTGTGCAACAAGGCGTGCCTTGTTCCTTACAATTTTATTTCTCTCATTTCGCTTTCGCACAAAAACCCATTTATAGCCAACTGGTTTTACACCATTTGGGGATTAAACTACAGGTCCAAAAACCTCACGTTTAGCAAGTGAGTCTAATTCTAATTGAATTGCCTCTTGCCATTTTGGCCAATCACATCTTCGTCGACATTCTTCGACAGACAGAGAGGTTCAAGATCCTCATTGTCTTGCATAATGTTGAGTGCAATGTTATAAGCAAAAACATTATCCACCATAATTTTTGATCGATTCAACTTTATCCCATTATCTGAAGAACTTATTGATAGTTCTTCATTCACTTGAGACTCGAGGTCATTGATTTCTTCAAAAATATCATGATTAATTAGATCTTGAATGTCTTCGTGGGATTCTATTATAGTGTCATTTTTCGTACTTCTTTTTCTAAGATTTTTAATGCTTTGAACCCAATGGTCTTTCACGCTTCAGGCGTGTATGATATTCAGAAGGTATGACACTATTAGATGGTCCTGTTGAAACATCAATCGAATAGGCACATTTTCTGCAGGAATATGCGACTTAATTATCCTTTTCAAATCAGTAAATGCGTCTGACATTTGATTTGCGATATTCTACAAGGATGATCTTCCGGACCTCCTGTTCACGTATAGGGGAACGTGGATCAAAATGAGATAATGATGAGATTTTCCATGCAATTTCACTTTTAAGTTCCTTTTTATCTCCCCCTAATTACGGAATAGTTGTTTCATCAAATTGATAATCTGCAAATCTTGTAGTGATTAAATCTCCCGTCAATGGTTCAAGGCAGCGAATTATGGAGGGTGAATCAAACCCAACATATGTGCCTAACCTTCTTTGGGGGTCCCTCTTAGTGTGCTGAGGTGGTGCTATTGGCACATATAAAACACATCCGAAAATTCATAGATGAGCAATATTTGATTCATGACCAAACACCAATTACGACGGAGAATATTTATTATAATGAGTCGGTCTGAGATGAAATAGTGATTTTGCATGTAAGATAGCATGATCCCAAACGGTAGTGGGCAACTTAGTTTTCATAAGTAGATGTAACACCCCGTATGCTAGAACTACCAAAATGTAGGTTTTAGGAGTTGCAGGTGACACTGACGGGCACCACTCACGAACCGTAGAGGGACCCACGGTCCGTTCTGCTAGTCCGTGGTTCTCAACCTGCAACCCATCCCCAGAACCCCCAGGAAATTATTCTAAGTCCTGACCCACGCCAGGACCTACGGACCGTAGGTCAGACCACGGTCCGTGGTTCAGGGCCGTAGGTCAGACCCCAGATTTCACCTCCCAGTCGCCGACCGACAGTTGACTAGTACGGGCCGTCAATCGATCGACGGTCCATCGGTGGGCCCCGACAACAGTTAAGTTAGGGGTCTTCTGGTCTTTTCCTTATGCGTTGGAACCCTAAACTATGTAGTTTTGATCAGTTTTAGCCTAGTAACTTAACTAGAATCTATCCTAAGAAAATCATCCACCAAAAACATAGAAAAATTAGAACACAGAAGGAGAAAGAGTCGACCAAACCCTAGTCCAAGAACGCAGCAAGTTTTCATCAATTTCAGCCCCGAAATCGAAAGATTTCTCGTGGAATTCGTCACCAGGTATGTGGGATTTCACTAGTGGGTTCTTTTCGCCCATTAGGTCCCTAGATTTCAGTCAGATTCTTGATTCCCTTCAGATTATCTAGACCTAGGGTTTCTAGAATTTCAGTAGACTTTTATGAATTAGTTATTTTAATGTTCCTAATCAGATTATCATGATTTTTGCGTAGATCCTCTCATAAATTTAGAACCCTAGCTATGTAGTTCTTTTAGTTCATGAATTACACATGCTAGGTTAGATATTTCAGTTATACATGCCTCAAATTTAAATGTTTCACACCAGAATGCCTCTATACCTCTGGCATGGTATATTGGGTCCTTTCAATGGGGCATATACATCAGACTCCACATTTAGCTCATGTGGTTTTATGTCGGTTATTAGTAGGTTCCTTACCGTTTCGTCAAATTCTATTGCATTGACCATGTTATCAGTATAGTTTAGTATTCAATCTCAGTATGTTATAAACTTGGTCATTGCATTCAGTTTAGCCATGTTCAGTATTTTCAATATCCTTATCAATTTCAGATTATATCATTGCTTTATTGCTTATTCAGTTATGTTATTGTTCAACTTTATTCTATCCTGCATGCTTAGTACCTTTCAAGTACTGACGTATACTCTGCACTACATCTTCTCGTGATGTAGGTTCAGTTCCTCAGTAGTCAGATCACGCATAGATCGATTCTCGATCTGCAGTTCAGCAGCATCAACGGTGAGTCCTCATTCTTCGAGGACAGTTGACATGTTATCTTTCCATTTTAGTCTTTAGTTTTCAATTTTTGCTAGACTTAGCTGGGGCATGTCCCAGCACTTCTAGTCAGTTTAGAGGCTTATTTTAGACATAGTTTGTTTCAACTTTAGTGTTAGAGTTTGACTTTTCATTTGTATTCAAAATCTCAGTATTTTTATATTTAGATTTAGTATATGGGTATTCCCCATAATTTCAGATTATCATATGATTTAGCTTCCGCATAGTGTTTATTGATTCAGTGTACTTTAGTATGCTTATAATATGCCAGTAGGGTTAGCTTGGGGTCGTTCGTGATCCTAGGTCCCGTGTCCGCGTCTAGGGGGTCGCCTCAGGCCGTGACAAACTTGGTATCAGAGCATTAGGTTTAAGAGTCCTCGGATGTCTGAAAAGCCGCACTAAGTAGAGTCCTTTTCATGGGTGTGAAGTGCACCATATCTAATCGTGCATAAGGTATGATCTAATTCCTCATTATAACTCGACGTTATGCGTTTCAGATCTTGCCTTCTCATAGAGCTTATGGAAGGAATGCGAATGCTAGAAATGCTAACGCAACTCCTCAAATCCCAGATCAAGAAGTTTCGAATGCAGAATTCAGGAACACTATCCAACTTTTGTCTCAAAGTGTGACTAATTAGAACAACCAAAAGGTTCCAGTTCCTGTAAATGTTGGTGGTGGATCAGTGGTAGCCAGGGTTCGTGACTTCGTTAGGATGAATCTGCTTGAGTTCTT